AAGTGTAGGCTGTAAGTGTGTGGTGTTTTATTCATATTTATGTGGGACTTGGCACAGAGAAGGTCAGTAGATACCTTTAGGATGAACTACCAAATGAGAACCTCAATGGGATATGCAGTCCCTGGATCCCATGGTAGAACTCTGAATCAAATATTCAACACTTTGCCTCTGTCAGTTTTATAATGCTTCCTTCATTCTTCCTAACGTCAGTTCCATGTATACAAACACCTTCTCCATTTTCTCTCCTCCTTGTGGGCCTAGGCAGTACTGCATTCACCTCTGTATCTTAAACGAGTCTCACACAGAGGAAGCCAGTAAACATTATTTAAATCAAATGATTTCCCAGGAGTATTGCTATACATAATGGCTGGGGTTTTCTTTTGTTCGTTTTTCCAGTACTAACAGCTGTATTTCAGGTATATTTAGTTATTAAAAGGGCTTTGGTGGATTGGTCTGAGGATCTAAACATCACTTAAAGTACTATTTTTATAAGGAAACGTATACAAGTTCCAAAATAACCAAACTTTTAAAATGAAATTTTATCTAATAAGCCAATTGTAGGTTCAAGGTTGGCTATACAATGTGATTGAACCTGTAAGACCTAATATTCATGTGAAAAATTAAAATGTCAATCATGAGAATATATCTAAATATTTGATTCTATGGCTTCCTGCAGGCAATATTTAATCATTTTAAATTTCAGATTTAATCTGGATGACATTGTTCACATAACAGAATTAGGGGCTATTTAGAAAAAAACTTTTCTTCAAATATATAAACTTTTCTTGATGAAAATCTCTCTTTATGGTTTCATAACTTAATCATAGTAATTCTGCACTTAATAAAATAAGTGCATTCTAGACACTATACTAATATGTAAATCTTTTAAGTAACTATGTCTTACTTTCCATTGCAATATTCACATGTTTTACAGAGAAAAACATGGAACCATGAGTAAAACAATTATATTTCAGAACTAATATTTTTTAAAAACATAAATAAATAATTCTAAAAATAGCTACATTAAACATACTTGTAATACTATATTGAAAATAATTCACAAACTTTTTAAAAAAAAAACCTGAAAATGAAAATAAACTGACCAATCAGATCATCTGAATCATCCAGCATCATTTTGTGGTCCCTGTAAGCTAGTAGTTTCTAATGTGTTAACATTCTGATAAAATCACACCTACATCATAAAAACCAGCCTTTAAACTACCTTCTTATTTCAAATTCATGTTGAAAATATGGGGGTTTTGTCTTACTTTTGGCCCTTTTCAAGCATCTCAGTATAATAATGACCAGGGCACCCTTTAGTGAGTGAGAAGATATAGTTCCAAATAATCTAGGAACTGTAAGCATTTTTTCTTGTTCTGCCTGGGCTCATTCTTAACACTTCTGAATATCATAGTGGTTAAGTGAAGCCAGAGCACCTAGGTTCAAGCTTGACTTTACCATTTACTTCCTATATGATTTTAGACAAGTTAAGAAAAGTCTCTGAGCATTAGTTTTCATATCTATATAATAAAGGGCATTTCTGACAGCGACCCCATAGGGTGGTTGTGAGAATGAAAATAGTATTTGCAAAATGCTTAAAACAGTATCTGCCTCAAGTCGGTGCTATAATAACAACAACAATAACTTTATTTTACATAGGCCAATAAAATAACTAGTATTACTTATAATACTCTAAGTTGAAAATTAAATATTTTAATACAATTATTATTACTGTTATTGTTATTTCTTTTCTAACAACTGCCAAATGCATAGTTGGTGAAAATTTTCATGATCCTCTTCATGGATTTGTTTAAATTAATTTGCTAAGTATAAAATCATTAAGTGTATTTCTGTATAAAAGAGATCTTTCATTTTGAACTATAACTGCGATTCTTCAATGAGTTATTCAAGTTTTTTTCTTTAACCCTAAAAAATTCTTGAGGGTAGGGCTTATCTTCTATATCTTTTGCATTCGTTACATTCTATTCAAACACTCCTGTTCTTCTATATATTTAATAAGTAATGAATGACTTAATTAATGAGTCAATGAGCAGCTATGGGACATTAAATCAGATAGCAAACATAGTTAAAATTCAACCTATAGGAATAGGCACTTTTCAAGATAACACAAGAGCGTTTGGCTTACACAGGTCAAGGGATTCCTGGTCTCACACACATGACCTTCTGGCTCACAACTCGTACTTGCAGTAAAGAGTTGGTGAGAATACATATTTGAGAGGCACAAGGAGAAATTAAGCAATGAAACAGAATGGGCTACAGATCTAGACTATAAAGATACTTGTAGAATGTGACTAAAAACCTAATGCTACTCTGCTCTATAAAGTTTATTCTATCACTTGGGGAGTAACAAGGCCACAAACTCTAGCAAAAACAAAACAAAAAACCTCTGGACTTAAAAAGAAATCACAAATAATGCCTTTGTACCATCCACTTCTCTGAAGCCTCTGTGAAAATAATAAGAATCACAATTGTACGTAAAATCAACCTGAAGCATATAAAACAAATATAAAAAGTTCACGGTTTGAAATAAGTAGAATATCTTACCCTTATACATTTTCCTTAAAACATGTGTAAGATTTCCTATCAACTTTAAGAATCTTCCTTTGGAGTTAGTCTTTAAGAGACAGCAAATTTCAAAGAAACTATTTAGTTCTTTATGAAGAAAAAAATGCATTAGGTCAGAATGAAATCTATCTTATAGATTTCCCGGGTTTGGGTCTACCTTCATTACATGTTATACACATAAACTGATCTCTCTACAATATAAGAATGCCAGATACGCATTCTAGAAAGAATATTTTTTCAATATTTAACAAAGATGCTCTGCAGACTTGCGCATTTGTAGACATGCAGGCAGGTATACAAAAAACCTGGACAGATACACTCTTAAGTTGCCAAGAAAGGTGATCGAAACTATACCCTGCCATTTCATTATTCTAGCAATCTTACTTTTATTACCATACTGAAAGTTAAGGCAGGTAGTTACCCTATTGCATAAACAATGAAGTTTTAAAACCCAAACAGAAAGGAATGGGTAAGGCAATAATTTCTACTAACCCCGTTTGAATATTCAGTAAATATGTATGCTTGGAAAGTTGAACTGTGGGACTTGGAAGGCAGTGAAATGCGAAATAGTTTCAACTGATGCATGGATTGATTCTATTTGGAAAAATAGGAGAAAAGAAAAGAGAGGCAATAGAGAAGAAAGATGTGAGATGAGAGCTCTCAACGTGGCAGGCAGTAGAGTGATTTTCTGGAGTCGATACGTGTGGGTTTGGGTATGAGGGAGATTTGAGAACACTAACATGGAGAGGGGAAGGTGAAGGTTAAAGGAGGAAGAAAGCAAACAGAACTGCCAAGTAATTCACTCCTTTCTCCAAAAGTCTGAGTGGTGCCAGAGAAGGAAGAAGAGTGCATTAGACAGAATTCGATTTGTGATAAACGATTATCCAAAACCTGAAGGAAGGGATTCTGGTATTTACCTTGTGGAAGCATATTAACTCTTCTAGGTGATGAGGATAGTTTTCCCTCAGTGGGGAAGAAAGTTACTTCTACGTTGGACCTTCAGTATTTTCAGAGAGTCCATGCCACCATACAAGTAAGCACTTTATCCATGCCCTTACATTAAAAAACACCCCCTCAAACAGCAATTAAATGTGCATACACATGTGTAATGTGCCAAATTACTAAACTGTTTGAGTTAATTGATAAACAAAGAACTCTCTAGCCTAGATGTCTATGGGTTTTATTCATGTACTACAGGTTTTGGACAACTTTATATTTATTTATATATACACACACACACACACACACACACACACACCTAAAGAGTGAAATACATAAAGCAAAACTTCATTTTCTTTGTATATAACTTTAGAATATTACCCTCTTTTACAAAATCTTTCCTGTAAGTTATTCACCACTGTCAGGTAAGACAAGATTTTTGACTGAAATCTCTCTTTATTGCTCTTTATTGGCAAATAAACCAAGAGACCTCTATCCCACACTATACTACACTTTTAAAAAGCAGTAACAATAAAACGCTTACTCTTCCTTTCCCTTGGTTAAAAAAAATCAGATTCCCAACAAAATAAAAAAATGAATCAATGCAAAAATGAAAATGTGATATGATACTTAAAATCTTGACATTACTGCACAACTTGATTAGAAGGAATGTTCAACCTGCGTGGAATTAACCCAGTGTACATCTGTGCATACTAAATTTTTTTCATCTTGTATGTATTCCTACTTATTGTTGAAACACATGTGCAGTCATAAATGTTGCATAAATGGCATGTTTGTGCATATTGCACACTGACAGTTTTTATGAATGAATACACATAAATGCTCATAACTCGAGAAAATGGATGGCGGCATACTATTTTGAAGAGGGTCATTAAGCACCGGGAGCAAATGATGAGGCAAATGGTCGATGTCTTTTGGTGCTATTCAGGGCAAACGTATTCCCAAGTCCCCTAGCAGAGTGTGTTGGAAACAGCCATGAAGCTCTCTCCTTAGAGACCCGTTCTCCCTCTCGGGAATCGTGCTACAGAACGGAGACCGCGCACCGCTTGAAGAATAAAATGCATGAATGTCTCTGTGTTCTGAGGATCGTTCACACATCAGAGACATCACACTCCCTAAATCCAGTCCCACAAGTGTGTGCATGTGAGAGTGGCATTTACCAACAAATGGACGGAAGGCAACGAGAGCTCAGCTCCTAGAAATAACATCCCCATCCCTTCCCATTCAGGCTGCTGGGAAGCTTTTCAAGGGCTAACACTTGAGCGCCTTCCCCACCAGGAAGGAGTCTTACATTAAAAACCCTCTCAGGGCTAAGTCAGCTTTGTGTATAAGTCCACTGGGCGCCATATGGCAGTTTCCAATTCCTTTAGCAACTCAAGTCTTGCTAGGCTGCCGCGATGATTCATTCTTAAAGGAAGACCCCTTCGAGGGGCAGCAATGCCCCCGCCACTTACCTAGCTCCCACAGACCCCGCTCAGCAGGCGGCACGGGCTCGGGCACCACAAAGGGCTGCGGGATTCCCCGCTCCCTCCAGGGAGCCTCTCCCCGCGACGATCCCCTTCGCCAATGATCTGTCGCTGGAAATCCCCCTCCCCTCCGCAAAGAGGAGGGTCTCCCCGGCTGGCTGGAGCTCCTGGCGTGCTTTCCCCCAGTCTTTACATCCCTGACTCTGGTTCCCGGTCTCTAGTAGGAAGGCTCAGAGGAGAGGCGGCGGGAGGAAGCTAAGGCATCCTTTAAAAGAACAATAATCTTCGTCGATCTTCACCCTCTTCCCCACGCGGGGTCCCCATCCCCCTGCCGCCGCCACCGCCACCCAGACGAGAGAGGGCTGGAACCGAAAAGGAAAAATCGAGCGGGGCTGAGCTCGCCGCGCGGAAGGAGCCGGAAAGCGAGTCGCGCCAGCCCGGGAGTTGCCGCTCTCTGGGGCTGCCCGAGGCGCGGCAGCAGCGGTGGCCGCGGGGGCGGAGGGCGGAGGGCGGTGGGTGCTTGGTGGGTGTGTGTCTGTGGCGGAGCAGGGCAGAGGCTGCGCGCGGGAGGCGAGGCGGGGCGCTCTGGGGCGCCGCTCCCCCGCCCCGCAGCTCGCCGGCCCGGCGCGCACACACGGCTGCGGCCACCCCAGCCTCCCGCTCCGCCTCCTCCCGCGCTCCGCGCACCCGCCGGCTGGAACGGCCGCCGCCTTCTCTTCCTCCTCCTCCTCCTCCCTCTCCTCCTCCTCGGCGCTAGCGGCTCTGGAGGTGGGCGGCGGGGTGGGGTGGCGGAGCTGTGCAAGTCGGCAGGGCGCCGCCGGGGACGCCGGGGACGCCGGGGCTCGGCCTCGCCGGGGCTCGGCCTCGCGGCGCCGGAGCTATGCGCTCAGCTAGGGACAGCGCCCGGGTGTCCAGGGCGCGGCCGGGGCGCTGGCGGGCGGGCACCGCCCACACCTCGGCGGGGCGCCTCCCTCAGCTCCCGCCTGCCCGCAGCTCCTGCTGCCCCGGGCCCGGCTCCTCCACACCCACCTGCTTGGCTCGGCAGCTCCCACCCGGCTGCACTGAGCTGGAGGGACTCAGCGCCCGCGGCTGCCGCGCACCGGAGGCTGGGAAAGCCCCGGGACGCCCGCTGCGGCGCGCTCTGGCGGGTTCGCGGGATTCCCTCGGCCCTTGTGCTTCCAGCTGCAGGGATGTCCTCCCGCCCGCCCCCAGCACGACCCTGACCCTGGGCTGGCCGCTTGACCCCGGGGAACTGGGGCGAAGACAGATGGCTCCTGAGTGATGGTGCCAGGATTATTTTCCTGGAGAAAGAGCCGCGGAGATAACCAGGAGCGCTCATAAGATCTGACTTTCCTCCGAGCACCTGCAGCCCAGCTCGCTCGGGGGCAGTCCCTCGCCCTGAGTGACCCCGCTTTCCTGGGTTTGAGGGTAAAGCCGGGTCGGTGGCAGCCTTAACTCTTGCTTCCCACGGGGGCGCTCTTCATACCCTGCTTTCTTTCCTTTGCCTGTCTACTTACCAGCTGGAAAACTATGCCAAGTTCCTTCTTGGCGAGGCCGCCGGGTGGACGCTCAGACCCCACTTTCAGGGCGCGGTAAAGAGAATGAACTTGAATAATATCGCTGGCCCTGCATATTCCTGAGCCCAGTGCTCCTTCACAGGCACGAAAGAGAGACAGCCACCACAGCTGTAGCAGCTTTCGGGAAAACAAAGTAGCTTAAAACACCTTTTAGAAAAGAACGCAGGCCATAACAATCTATTTAAAGCAGGGACTCCTGAGTTTCTATCGGCCAAGAAAGATGGCTGTTGAAGAAGGTCCAAGTACACTGTTTTAAATATCCTCCTTGTCATCTTTGCCTTAGTTTTAGCCCTGGTGAGTCCTGGAGTGCGCTATCCTCTCTGATTCTCTGCACCTCTTTGTACTGAGGGTTTTTGGTTTTGGGGCGTTTTGTGTGTGTGGTGGTGGTGGTGGTGGTGTTTTGAGATGTCACGTTAGACGAGATATTTAGCATAGAGGCTGGTCTTTCTGATGCTGTCGCTGTCCAGCAAGAAACTGCCCTGCCCTTTGCTCTTCTTGGGTCTTCTCAATTATGAACACTAGGAAAAGGACACCCAGATTCCCAAACTCTTATCCCCAACTCTGGCCTGATCCCAAGCTCCAGCTCCACACTTCAGAGCCCTGCAGGCAGTCCATTCCCTCCCCTCCAGCCTTTCCACCCTCCCACACAGTTTAAATACTTTCTGCCGATTGCTTTTCCTGACGCAAAACCCTGACCATATCATTTTCCTATTCACAAATATTCCCTGGTTTTCCATTTCCTACCAAACAGCGTCTGCACACCTGTGTGCCATTACATGTGAGTATCTGTGATACTCTTCTCCAGGTCTTAGGTGCAAATCATTGCAGTCCTAGAAAAGTCACTTCAAACTCTGCCTCTTCCATGACTTCTCCCCTTTGGCGTCCATCGCACAATGTCCCAGAAATCTTTTAAAGACACATATCACCTTCCACTCCTTATACCTTGTATTTACTTTCTGTGTACATTTCTTAACATTTTAAATTCTAGGTTCCTCTAGAAACAATTCCATATCCCTTTATTGTTTGCACTCTTTATGTCTAACCCAAAGTCACACGTGAGAGATACCTATTCATCTAACCAAGATTTATTTTGTAGTTTTTGTCAGTCAATATTTAGTAATTGAATGAAATTTACAAAATATTTTTAGGCTAGAAAGACTGCTGCAAATTCATTTAGAGTGTGCCTAAACTTAAGTTTGCATGACTTTTCATAAACTTAGGGGTGCTGAAAATTTCCTTACTTTGCTAGCTCTGTATCAACATTACTAATCATCTCACTAAGAATTTAATAATTTGACAAATATTTGTTTCAATTTTTACCTTAAATTTCGATTAGAGGTTAGAAATTTGAATCCTTTTGCCTGCTATCTAAGTGGTCATTAGCCAAGAGTAAATTATCTATTGGGTAAAATACAATTCTGCTATCTCCATTTCTGGGAAGCAGGGTGCTAGGAGTGAGTTATCCATCAACTCTGAGCCCTGTGTGTGAGCATGCAATGACAAGAAAAAACAATCTTTGGGTGGGGGGGGAATCTAATTTTGCTTCCTAAATGACTCATAATCCAAATGGAGTATAGAGAATCACCCCTGGTATACAAGTTGTTTTGGAATAGCAGAGTTCTCCATATGCACAGCTTGAATTCCGGATGGCTGCAGAGACTCTTGTGTTGATTATCATCATGTGGCTCCACTTCCTTAGTAAATTTGGGTAATTTGGGGTTTTGTTCAGTTGTTTGCCAAAGAAAAAATTAAAATGATCTAGCTGAAAAGTCAGACATGTTTTCACATTGCTCCCTTTAAGTTTTTTTGTTTATCTTTACTTATATTTATGGAACTGTTACTTTTGCTTATATTTCAATTTCTCAGAATTAGCTTGAGATATGACTAAATTATATTACAGTACAGGAGAGAAATGTCTTTTTGGGATGTCAAAATGCTTTCTTCATAATGCTTGATAAAATAAATAATATAAATGTAACCTGAAATAACCTTATGCATATCATTAGATACGATTTAGATGAAGAATGTATTTCCTCATATATCATATGCTGGTGTATAAAAAATGTATGTATAGGCACAAAATACCAAACATAATAGATTCTTGTTATTTTTTGATTGAATAAAGTATTTGAGCAAAACCAATTAAAAAAAAAAAGATATACCTGCACCAACATGTTTATCACAGCACAATTCACAATTGCAAAGATATGGAGCCAACCTAAGTGCTCTTAAACCAATCAGTGGATAAAGAAAATGTGTTGTAAATACAACATGAATACTACTCAGCCATAAAAAAGAATAAAATATTGTCTTTTGCAGCAACCTGGGTGGAGCTGGAAGCCATTATTCTAAGTGAATTAACTCAGTAATGGAAAACAAAATACCATATGTTCTAACTTATAAGTGGGAGCTAAGCTATGGGTACACAAAGACATACAAAATGGAATAATGGACATTGGAGACTCAGAAGGGAGAAGGGTAAGAGGAAGTAAGGGACAGAAAACTACTCATTGGGTACAATGTGCACTACTCCAGTGATGGCTGTACTAAAATCTCGACTTTACCACTGTGCAATTCATCCATGTAAACAAAACCCACTTACACTTCTAAAGCTATTAAAGTAAAACAATTTAAAACAATTTTTAAAATAAAAATGATAAGACCCCCATTAAAGGGAGAAACATACAAACATATATGTAAATGTGTTTGTGAGTACGTGGTATATTCTAGAAGGATGTATATTAAAAAGCTATCTCTGAGTTGAGAGGCAGGTTTTATTTGGTATAAACTGGTTATACAAAAAAGGGTTGGTATTAATCTTCAAATATCAGAACCATGAAGATACCACTTTACATTCTTAATCATAAACCACGTATAGACACGGACTGGGACTATACTTTTTAAATTTATTTTTTATAAGGGCAAATATTACGATGGTACTTACTGTCATACAAGAAAGTGACCACCGAAGGGTACATAGAGTTTATCACATTGTTAAATCTAATACGCCTTATTTTCTTCTTCTAAATAAAAATATAGGAAAGCTTGGGCAGTTTTAAGCAACTCACAGAATCTTAGCAGCCACTGAAATCTTACACTAGCACATTGCTGTGAAGGCTTGAAAAATGAGCTGTCTGTGTGTTCTTCATTGAAAAGGTAAGTACTATCTCATTGATTCTTCCGTAATTAGTTGAGACTTGGCTGTCCTTTGAAGATTTAAAGTAAGAGATAAGCTCCAGACTGACTGTATTTGTATTTTTTTAACGGTTCTTATTCCGAGTATGAACTTCCTGAAAGATGCCAGATGCTTAAACACATGTTACTGCCATGTAATAGCATGACTATAAGTATTGTGTTTGAATCCACACTTAGGCCAATTTGCAGATATCAATAGTGTCTAAGTAGCCTTGTTTGATCTTAGGAATCCATGAAGCTTAGGGTAAGAGGTTTTTGGGGTCAGTGAAATGGATATTTTAAAAACATGCCACTTAGGATCTGAAATTTAGCTGCATTTTTCCATGATGTAGTGGAACAAGGATTGGATTCTTAGTCAGACTCGAATTCCATCTCTCTTACGTAATTGTGCTGTGTAGTCAAAGATAAATACAAAACTTTACTACATGTCAGGCACTGGGCTAAATTCTTTATAGGTATTTGCTAATTTAATCCTTAAAATAGTTATTTAAAGTAGATAATATTGCTCTTCTCCCAGTTTGTAAAGGACGTGACTAAACTAGAGAGAATTTTTAACTCGGGATCATACTTATATGAATTGGAATTTGATCTAAGGCAGTATGACTGTATAATTTTAGGCTGTATTACTCCTACTGCACCCCACATTGATAATACCTTTCTGCCTGTCTCATTAAATTGTCTCGAGTTCATGTAGGAAACTATTATATAAAATATTATATAGATTATATTTTATTAATATAAATATTAATTCATATTACTGATAAATTTATATTAATATATTTCTGAATTGTATTAATATAATAGTAACATATTATGAATATACTTATGCTAATATTTATATAATTATTATATATTATATTTTTCA